TGTTAATATTTGATTTGTCTAGAATTAATATTGAATATGAACTTGGCCAAGAAAAATTTTATGGGTAAACCAAATATGAATGCTTTTTATAATTTAAATAAAATTGTGAATAATTTTTTTAGAAAATAAAAAACACAGAGTGTCATAAACTATTTTTAAAATCATTGAATAAGAGTTTTTATAATTATAATTATAATTATTACATTTTATAATAAATTATGCAAAAAAAAAAAATTCACAACCGTGATGATCGCAGTAACCGTAATTATCTCCGTTATATCCGAAAACACGACAAACGTTACGCGACCGAAAACGTGACCGCGACCGCTATTTAAATCCCTAATGCCAATGGTGAAAAAGGTGAGGTATAAGAGTCAGGGGGTTTTACTAAAGGGGTTCTTCGTCAGCCTGTAATAGTAAAAAGGGGGTAGTGTGACAGCGAAGCCCCAGTTTGTACTGGTCATCACAATTGAAATAGAGTATTTTAGTACGTTGTGCCTTCATCTCAGTAGAAGACAGACATCGTATAGGAAAGGTTTGGGGTGAAGGCATAGTTTGGTCGCTGATGGCCAAGTAGGGACGGTTTGTGTGTAACGAAAAAGAGGTAGTTTACTATTAACTAATTTGGTTTCGAGAAGCTTAGCAGCTCCTAAAGATTGAGAAAGGGATTGTGGTTTGAACGGGGCCATGTCGCTTTGAATCTCAGGTCGTAAACTCGGAATGAAACAATTAAGCAAATATTCCTCTGAAGGCCAAAAACTCAGTTGGAAATGTTTTCAAAGTCCAAGGCACATTTTGCTTTATGATTAACAAAAGAGGAAAGACCTAACTTTAACTCCAAGGCTCATGTAAAAGAGTCCCAATCATGAAGCTGGTGGTTACGATACATCTATTGATACCAGCTTAGAGCTTGGCCAGCCATGTAGAAAGCAGATATAGGTAAGCGTTGATGGGGAGGATCAGAATGAAATTCAAAGTATTTTTCGGCTTGAAAAAACGAGTCCAAGGGATTCGAGCCATCAAATAGGGTTATATGAAATTTTGGAGATTTTATTGTAAAGGCTGTAGAAGGCAACGACATGGCTGATAAAGATGACTAAGAAGATAGTGTTTGGAGGGTCGGTAAAAGGGGAAGAAGAATTGGTGGTGAGTCAGAAACAGATTGTTTTTCAAACCAAGCCATTTTGAGCTAAAGATCATAAATAGAGAAATGTTGATCGTTGATTACGGTGGTGAGATCCGAACATTTGGCATCAAACTTGGATTCCAGATAATACACAGGTCAAGTAAGGGTGAGTAATCAGTTGATTCGGTCGATACGGTCAGTTCAATTTAAAAAAATCAATAATTAATTTAATTAACTTTTATTTAACAAATAATTAAACTGAGCGAATATTATTAAATAACTGATCATAATCTAACCAACTAAAATCGGTTCGATTCAATCGGTTCAATTAAATAACTAATTTTATTATTTTTTTTTATTATAAATAATTATTTAATCACAAATTTAATTCAACAAAATTTAAACTCAAGTATCATTTATGACTAAATAATTTAATAATTTCAATAATATTTTATAAGAAAAAAAATAAATATAAATATTTATTTAAATTTTTTTTACTTTTATTTATTAAAAAATTAATTAATTCGATCAGTTCGATTATCAATTTTAAAAATAAAAAATCAATCAAATTAATTAATTTAATCGATTTAAAAAATTAATTATAATTAAAATTAAATAAATCAAATTAATTTAATCGAATTCATTTGATTTTGATTAATCTAATTGATTCAAATCGACGGTCAAGGATTTGGGATGCAAAGGAAGTGATGGCGTCCTTTACTGCATTGATAAGTCTTGGAAGCATTGTGGAGAGGCGGAAGGTCAATGAAAGCACCAATTATATGAACTCACAGAATTTAGAAAGGAGAACAGAGAAAAAGAAGGAAAAAAGAAAGAGAAGAGAAGGAGCCAGAGAAATAATTGTGAATTTTCCTATATTCTTCTTTCATTCAGGGCAAGTTATATAGCTACTGCCAGTTGTACGATAATTGTTTTGTAATGATTCATCGGCTAGAAAAGGAATTACATGCACCATAATAGACTCTACTTTCATCCCATGGCAAGGTCCTTCATCTAGCCGAGGCCATGATCTTGGGCTATGATCTTAGGCTGACAGCTGACTTCTGTCATTCATGCTTGGGTTTCTATCAACGTGATGGTTGGATGTGTCCTGATTTGATGAGCGCAAAGGTCAACCTTGGCGACTACACTTTATTATAAGAATTCTCCTTTTGTTAGTGGCTGGAAAGCTGGGATTGGACTTTGGAAGAGAAAGCTTTGCATGAAAGAAATTGAACTTTTCGCAAAGCCTCTGCTTTTCGCCACCTTTAGCACCTGCTTCTTGGATACTTCCAAGCTCATGGTTTTTAATTGGAAGCAATCTACCGGGCATAAGGCACCTTGTTTTCAGTTCTATTAAGCTCCTCCAAAGCCACCCAAATCGGTCCATCTTTTATTTATTAATGATTGTGGATAAAAATAGTAACACTCCTTATAGCATTTTTTTTTCTAAGCCAAGATTTTATTAATCATTAATACGAAGGGAATACAATAAAAATCTAACAACAACACTAATTTCATACTTAATTCATTCTTGAATTTTTCTTTCACACTATTTTGAAAATATTCTAACAATTAAGAGACACAAAATCGATAACCCTGGCTTAAATGTGGTTGAAATTAATTGCTGGACGTATAAAGTAATTAGACCCTCGGTAGAGAACAAACAACTGATCACTAAACCAGAAGAAATGACATTAAAAGATGTAATAATTTAGATTATTATTACTTTAAATAGTAACTTTTGCAATAGGTTTTGCTTCCTTTTGACTAATGCAATACTTCCAAGTAAAACATGACAAAAATTCTCAAACAAATTAAGAAGTATCAAGTGTCTACATATAAAAATGAAGATGAGTGGAATAATTGAATTGTAATCTTCTGGTAATTAAATTTTTAATTAATGACATATCTCTAATATGTGAATTCCAAACATTGTTTATAAATAAGCCAGCCATTCACACACATTTTTGCTGAGCCTGATTAAACATTTTGACAAATTAATGGAGCCAAATGTTAAATATCTATATCAATCCTCAAATAATTAAGCTTGAATTGAATCATCAAATCTTATAATTAAGAGTAATTAACACAAGATAGATGCCCAGCTACATAACTTATCATTATTCTTCACCAGATATATTTTCTTTTGAAAGCCTTCTTTAAATACACTCCCAAAAAAAAATTTATATATTATTATTGCACACTCAAAAAATTTTGAATCAGTCCCTAATTTAATGCACAATGTGTCTGGATTATACTTTAGTTGATCAACATCCTTTGGAACTTTAGTCTTACCTTTTTTTTTCCTTGATTTTTTTCATTATATTTTGGTTTAGTGTGTGCTTTATAAACAAACTTTATTGCCAACTACTACCAATTGTAATTCAATAATTGGCGTGACTATGAATTCGCTTTCCAAAGCGAACAAGGCTAAAACACAAGGTATAGTTTTCTTTTCTCACTGAACTTAAAAAAAAATGCTGAAAAGAAGAAAACTACAAAGCAAAAGTGATTGAGGGGAAAAAGTTGGATTTTTGAGGAGGGTCCAGCTCTAAGTTTACTTTAACGTAGTGGAATCACAGATGAGGACATTAAAATGGAAGTGCAGTGATAAATCAGGCTGTAAAAGAGCCATGCATTTTCCATATTTAATCAAGGATTCATGGAGCTCCCACCCTTTCATTTTTTTTTCTTTTGTCTCCCTCCTTTGAAAAAAAAAAAAAAAAACGAAACCCAATATACAATGAAATGTCCCACCAAATTGGCCTTTGTATTTTAGATCTTGCCTGCCAACCATATACCTGCCTCGAGCCAAAATTTAGATTAAAAGCACAAACCCAAAGACAAAGAAAAAAGGGTTAATTAGAACTAATGAATAAAAATAAGAGAAAAAAGAATAGAAAAAAATCCCCAAAATTAACAACCCAATAGTGCTTTACTTGAATGATATGTAGGAAGTGATTTCTACCGAGCAATCACATTGGATCTCATACTTATAATAAGTTTGTAAGTTAATCCATTAATCTTGAAGGATTTTAATTTGCCTACAAAAGATTTGTTCATCATCTACTTTTCATAGTGAAATTAAAATTAAATGAAAAGAAAGGAACAAATTATATTATAATTATAAAGAAGTACTTCAAAATCAAAGAGCTAATTTAATTAATTAGCTTAAAATTCTCTTTAGGTAGTATTTCATAGATCATCATAGTAATTTAACTATCGAAGTGATCTTATTATTATTGTGGTTTTATCACTTGTGATCTAAAATCACTTTGTTTGATTAAATATCATTAATTTTAAATAATTAAAAATCACTATATTTGATATTACTGAAAATTAAACATTATTTTATTTGAAAGCATCAAAATAATCATGCACATTATAATAGATATATAAGTTAATGAATTCAATGTTATTTTAAGATAATAATTTGTAAAATATTAGTAATATTTTATTGACTTCATAAAAAAAGTATAATTAAATTATTGAATTAAAAGAATATATTTAGTGATAGGTAAACTAGTTTTATAATATAAATTATGTAAAAAATATTTGATTAGAAAATAAAACTTATATATTAAAATCAAAAGATTATATTATATATATATATAAATTAAAAATATTTTTTTAAATCATATAAATTATTTTTGAACTTGTTACAAAAATATTAATTTAAAAATATAAAAATTTATAATATAAAACATTTACAATTAATTTTGAGAAGAAATAAATTTTTAATTCACATATTAAGTGAATAATTTTAATTATTATTAATTTTACATATCACTTTACCTTAACAATAAAAGTTTTTCACAGTTTTAGATAAGAATTAGATCATCATCTCAAACAATAATCCAATCACTTTAAATGATCCAAAACCATTGTCACATAAAATCATTAAATGATTATCAAATATTATAATTTAATCATTATGTATAAATCACCATAATTTTTTAGTGAGCACTCATAGTGCGCAATACCTTTCTTTGAATATGACAATAACTTTCATGATAAACCTAAACAGTTTTTAACATAAGATAGAAAAAAAAAAAAAAAAAAAAAAAACTGAAATTTTCATCATTTCATGGATTTTTCTTATAATTTTTTTTTCTTTTATTTGTTGTATCAACAACTAAATTAAATCCCCAAATGCAATTAACCATATATAAACTCCAAACATGGAAAATCATCAACAAAGCAAAGAGTTCCCTTATAACTCAGCCATTCTTTTATTTTGCTGCTTCAGATCCTTGTAAAACCTGTTTATGAAATTCTCGGCAGCCTTGTCTATGCGCCCATTGTCGTCGTCGACATCCCTTAGTGGAAAAGGGGAGTCCGTTATCCTAAGTTGCCTCGCCAATGGAGTTTGTCCGAACCCTGGCAACATAGGGGAAGCAGCAGCAGCTTCCACCACCATGTTGTTGCTGTCGTTGTTGTTGTTGTTAAGTATCTCCAAGGCAGCCTTAACGGCGTTCATGGTCTCCATGTCATCGTCGTGAGTAGGAGGAGCGTGGGTGCATGCGAAGAACTGGTGGTAGTAGTTGTTAATGCTGTTTTTTTTCTTGGTGGCAAGGTTGAAAGGGAAGATGTAGTTTGGGGTGTTGCTGCAGCTGAACTCGTACTCATGGAGTGCTGCTGCTGCTGCTGCTGCTGCCGCCGCCATGGATGATGATGAGTCATGGCAGTTGCTGTGGTGGTGGAACATGAGGTTGCCAATGGCTTTGGCGCTGGCGATTTTGCCACGTTTAAGCATCATGTTGAGATCAACCATGAACTTTCTCTTTGATGAAATTCCTTTTCTCATCGTGAAGAGAACTGCCCTTACTATGCTCAATACTTTTTTAGCCATCACTGGTAGATTTTGTTCCATTTGCGGCTTTTCTTTTAGTTTTTTTATTTGGGTGAATTTGGAGGGAGAGAGAGGGAAAGAGAGGGAAGAGGAAATTAGTATTTGTTTGGGTTAGAGGGAGAGAGGGAGAGGAGGGGTATATAAAGAGGAAGAGAAGGGGGGAGAAGAGAGAGGAAATCAAGTAAAGGTGAACTGTACTTTAAAATTTGGACTACGCATAGATATTTTGGGATATTTTAGTGGTTTAAATTTTTTTTTTTAATTTTTTAAATTCCTATACTTTGCTTATTCCTTGCTTCAATCATCTTTGTTGGTGGTGATATGGTGGGATAAAGTTCATACGAGCTTGGGATGCTATAAAGTGCCAGCTAGCTCCCAGACCACAGTTTTGGAGGCAAGGGTTGAAACCAATTCAACTATAGGACAATGACCAACAAGTGGTTGGTTATTTATATGAAGTTCACTTATTTTTAATTTTAATGATTGAAATTTAAATTTTAATAATTAAAAATAAAATATATATATTTTTTAACACATCGATTATATATGTTTTTCATGTATAAAATTCATAAGTAATGATAGAATCCTACAAACATAAAATTCATAAAGAATGATAGAATCCTACATAAATATCGTTGATAGGAGGTATATATATTAGAAAGTAGTGTTCACATGATAAAATTACTATCAACGTTCCGTAAAGGGCTTTACATATTGTTAACATTTTATCAACATGTTACTTTATATTTAAAAATCCAATTTTGAAGCAAAGGCAGACGGCTGCAAGATATTTTTGGTTCCATTAATATCTCCAACTTGTGGCATATGTACAATTATAACTTTAGCCAAATTAAACAATTTATTAAAAGGACGGAGGGGTATTTTGGAGAAAAAGATTATAAAAATCCAACCTTCTTCTTGGAGTTTCTACCATCCCCATGACTTTCAACGCCTTGAGGAGTTTCCTTAGCCGATAAACAAAGGCAAAAGCGACAGCTTTAACAAAGCAGAGCCTTATGAGCCAAAAAATGGGTCAAGAATACAATTTCAATCAGTTACTTCACCGAGAGTTCCATTATTTGATTTGTTTGTGTTATCAATTTCACGATTCGCCAAAAAAAAATAAAAAAAAAAAAAGGAAAGAAGGCGGGAGAATTGAACCATTATTCTTTCTTTCATTGGTATCATCAAGAACGTACGAATATTGTAAGGTTGTTCTTGTTTCAATTTTTAGTATTTTACTAATTTTAAATCTCACTTTGCACGTGCTTTTCCTTTTTTCTAATATAAGAAACCACATTTTAGCTGGCAAAATTTGGGTGCACTCGTTTGGTTTAAAGATTGAAAATAATTAAAACCGTAAATATCATGAAGAATATACTTGTCAATTTAATTAATATTTTCACAAAATCGTATCATTATGTCTTCTTCATTTTCGTCACTAATGAGTTTGTTGTCTATAATTTATAATCGGACAAGCTAGTTTGTATGTGCATTAATAAGATTAATCAAGATTCAACCATGATTTTTTTTTAATACGGTCATAATATTTCAAGTTTTATTTAAATTCATTTCTTTGAACGATTTTAAAAACATAATTTTGCACACGAATTTAGTGCATTCATTATCTTACTCCTGAAGTATTTTCATAAAAATTAATAGTAGCAATAGTGATATAAATTTTTACATATATATATATATATATATTTTATTGCAAAAGAGAGTTAGTGCTCTTACAATGGGAAAAGAGGGTGACGAAGTCGAACTCACACCTACATGACTTTCAATCCGTCTCTTAACCACTAGGCTAAGAGGGGAAAGTCGATTTTTACATATTTGAGTCGTTATAACCACATGCATGAATAAGGTTACTAAAGCTTGGTGATTATAATTTGAGTGACATCAAAATGTATAAATTATCATGACATTTTAGCCTGAGAATGAATCTGCTAGACGTGGGATAGCTGGGAAATATTGTTTCCATTGTTTTTTCTTTTTTTAAGTGGTTTAGTTCGTGTGAAGAATTTCAAGCGTGTAAGTTAGAGAAGTAGGTTATTTATGGATTGGGCTAGTGGTGAGCACCTTCCTTTAAAAACCAAGGGATTTCCCAAGGCCCGGGGATCACAGCCCCTAAAGGTCTATGTAACTTCATTTTTATTTATTTATTATTTTTGGTAACTTAAATTATATTTATATATACATATAGCATGCATGATTAGAGACAAACAGATCATATTGGCAAACGGCAGGGGAGAGACAGACAATGCTTGAAAAAACTGGTCTTTTGCCTAATTGAAAGCTTCACAAAAATAACAAAAGGACGCTGGCCGATCACAATGCCAATAGAATGTTGCCCAACTGCCCATACCTCTCCTAAGACTAAAAGGTGAATGCGAAGGGTATAAAATTAGTCAGATACATGTTTGGTATATCATATTATGATAGAATAAGATAAAATATTATCATATTTTATATTTGATATATATAAGATTATGATAAGGTAATTTTATTTATTGATTAAAATTATTTTTCTTAAAATTTATAATTATTAATATAATTTTTAACAGTATAATAATACATGTAAATTCAATCTCATAAATTAAAAATAATTTTTTTTCACTTTGAGAGGATTGAATAATTTTAAGCCAAAAGATGACTAATCTTTTTTATAATTCTATCTTTTTTTAATATAAATCAAATATAATATAAGATAATTATCATCTTATACACCAAATATAATATATGTATTAATAAGAGTATTAATTTGCTTATATCATAATGTTCTTGTCATATTCACATGTTGGGTAGCCATGTACAACCGTGCAAAGTTTTCGACCCTAAAATACGATACATCCGAATCCCAACTCCAAAACCAAACCCACCCATCGCTATGACTATCTTTCTCTCTCACTCTCTCGTGTGGCTAACTAGCTACTGCTTTGTTCTTTTACCTTTTAAGCTTGCTGCACGCTCCAGTGAATGCTTTTCAGGTTTTTATCGTTTTAATTAGAGATTGATTCATAAAAACCAAAACGTATGGTCTCCAAAAAAGAAAAGCCGGTTCATGGTTGGCTTTGCTAAGGTGCATATGGCTGGTATAGGCCCCCACGTGAATTCCCAACTCTTTGCATGCTTTCTAGACACAAATTATTTTAATTTCATTTTGAAAGCTAAAGAGAAAAAAAAAAATTAATTCAACAAACTCAATAATTGTTCATTAGTTTTAAATTTTTTCCCCTTATTGGAACAATTTATATATTGAACATAGATAAATTTTAATAGGTAAAATGTTTTCACTTTATGTTCCATCTATATATAATTTTGGAATACGCATGTAATTTCCAACCAAATTAAACATGAAAAATAAGGCTTAATTTTCTTAAACTTTGAAGTTTACGATCCATTTATACTAAAAAAACACTTCAGCTTTATGTAAAAAATGACTAGCCAACATCAATTAATTCTCCTCAGGTACCTAATTGAGTTGGTTTTTTTTTTTTTAATTTCTTTCTTTCTTTCTTCAACAAACTAAGGGACATAAAAATTTCATATTAATTGCATCACCCGATGATGAAGACGAACCAACTGCCCAAATGGAACAGTAGTGGTGAAGGCGTGAACATGAAAAAATAACCTCACGACTTTTTCATGAAACGACAATGATGCTCTCCTTTCTGGATTTAGATGAACAGTTAGCTTTAAACCCAAAAGCCAAAACAAGTTGGCATTTCTTGAAAAATCTAGCATGTTTGAAAGGCCATGCTTGCCCTGCGCATGCAGCTGCTGATAACCGACATGTGAGTCCACAAGATCCGCACATAATTTCACTTGTTAGATTCAAAAGAAGGGATCCCACCTGCTATAAATAAGATGGTTTCATGCACTTAACCCTCTGTCTACTTCCATTGACAAAGAATCTTCTAAGCGGTCTTCTCCAAGTTTCTTCATTTCCAATCACCCAAATAACTATCTCAAGTCTTTTAGCTGATCATCTCTGGTTTTCTGCTTTGGGTTTTTGTCACTTAACATGGCACCGCGTGGAGAGGCTATCACTAGCACTTACACCAGGAGCAACAACTTCCCCAAGCCACACCCAAGACTCTCAAACGACAGCCTTCACCCAACCACATCGGATATCTCTTTCCAACTCAGCAAGGAAGTGCTTGATAATTATAAAGAAGCAGCAGCCGTCGCAGTAGTGGATGGGAAACAGCTCCCACTCATATCCGAAGTCGAAGATGCAAAGTGTGAGTGTTGCGGCATCAGTGAAGAGTGCACCCCAGAGTACATCGAGCGTGTCCGCAACAAGTTCATGGGGAAATGGATATGTGGATTATGTGCTGAGGCGGTGAAAGAAGAGATGGAGAAAAATGGAGGCAAGATAGAGGAAGCTTTGAGTGCACATATGAATGCATGTGCTAGGTTTAACAAGTTTGGGCAGGGCTTATCCAGCTTTGTTGACAGCTGAAGCCATGAGGGAGATTTTGAGGAAGAGTTCAAGATTGGAAGGAAAAAATCTTAGGGCCAAATCTTTTAGCCCTATGGATAGAGGAGGTCAAAAGAAAGGTGGGATCGCTCGGAGTTCCAGTTGCATTCCAGCAATTACAAGAGAGATCAATGATCACAGAGCAGCAAACTGATCATGACCAGTATAATTGGCCCAAAGGCTTCTTTTCTTTCCATATACTTCATTCCTGCCTTAAGCTTTAGTATTTTTTTTTTTTCATGAGATCTGGCTCTTTTGCGTGGACCAAACATTTCACTCGCAGTACTGATCAGTACACTTGAAAGTTTTTTGCGTTTGGTCCAAACTCTCTTGTACATGAAATCAACTCAAGGAGTATTATTTTTCTATATATCCTTGGTTGATTAATTTGTATCATTTGCTAATTGGATCTCTCTTGCTTCAGAATTTTCCTTTTTTTCGGTGGGCACAAAATTCTTCCTGCTTTTCTCTCCTCCTGGGATATATATGTTTCTTAGAACCAAAACCTCTAACACCACCTTCTAGCTAGCTAGTAGGTTTTTAGATTGGTTCAATTGCTTCTTTTCTTCCCCCCATGCATTCATTCTGCTTGATTGGTTCAAATTGTCAACTCATTTTCATGTACTAAATCCGTGTATCCAGA